AGATATATAAATCTATATATACATATATATTTAAATTATGTGATCTCCTTAGGCATACAGGTGTATATACTAGCGTGGGTACAAATATTGACATACACCTCGTTGTACGACTTCTCACCGATACTTATATATACATAAAACTACAACTGCACACACAAAAAAATCTTTGAATGAATCGAGATACCCATCCAAAAGCAGTGAGAGTGAATTGCCACATACCCTTTATGGCAAGTGAGGTGGCTCCGCCTTGCACGGCATTAAGCGCATATTCAATCTGTACCAATTTCCCCGAAGGACTGAACGTGGTCAGTGAGAAACTATAGCGTTCGGACATTGTTATAGGGACTGCGTGTATGCTACCACAAGGCTGATCTAACTAAGGTATATCCTCGCTATGTATATGTATGTATATGTATGTATATATACGTATATGAATTTAAAGCGAAGGATACAGACGTATTCCCCTGTGCTGTGTCTATTTGGTACAGATGTCAAATATTGTTTGTTTACGATTCAGGAACGGCAGAAACGGCAGCAAAAGGGCTGGGGAAAAAACCCCGCGCACATCAGCAAAAACTATTCTATTTTTAGCCGACCTGTTCTTGTTTTGTCACAAATTTGATTTTTCAGCCAATAGAATAAATTGTATTAATAGTCAAAAAGGTATATTATTAGATTCGATATTTTTCTGAATAGCATAAATGAATAATGATTGAGTGTATAGTTTGTAAGTAAAATTTATGGCCCTATGTAGACCATTCCACCAATGATAATACAGATAAATAAAGAAGCTGCATAGCAAACCGACGATTGTGTGTATGTATCTCAAAATGTATAAATACCTCTGCTGTGCTAAAAATACATAAAATAAATATTTACGCGAAACAATCTGATACTAAAAATGTGCCAGCTGAGTCAATGTCACGCTGCACTCATATATATGCCCATACTATGCAACATCTTTGCATTGGTACCACCTGCGACTTCTATCCACCAGAAGGCCTTTGCCACGCACGCTCCCTGCCGGCTTCATACTTGCTGCGTATAGCTGTAGTACTCATTTGAGTAACCACCCAGTGAATTTTTACTGAAGAATGGATCGTATGTAATCAAAGGACCGTCGATCTAATTTACATAACAGCAATCAAGACATCGCATTTTAGTGGAAATAAGACATTCCTCTAGTTTTAGTCTGTTCAAGCTGCTGAAATGTCTACAGATAAGAGACGTCGTGTGCCCAAGGCATGCGTGTACTGTCACCGTTCGCATCTGATGTGTGATCAGAGCCGTCCGTGTAAGCGTTGCGTGGACCGAAACGTGGCCCACCTCTGCCGTGATGAAGACGAGGATCTGCATTCTCTCTACAACAAACTACGAGCACAGATACGCACATTCCACGCAGAGTTTCGATCAACTCGTGCTAAAGAAGGCCTTCTTGAGCCCAGGCCAAACGCGGTTCCTCCTTCACGTATAGGCGTGTCTGTTCTAGGGGACAGTGAGCAAGTGGGTTCGAGATACATGCGGTCGAATAACATATACGATGGTGTTGTAGCTACGGATGGATTTGAGAATCTCGATCAAACGAAGATTAGCCTGGACTATCTAGGGGCTTTCTCTGAGCTTCCGGATGTCTTTGGTTGTGAAGATAGTAACCAGACGGTGTTTGGTGTTGGCGGGGATGATGACACGAGTAACAAGGCGATAAAAAAGTTCGACTCAGACAAAGCTGTACAGGCCATTGTGAAACAACTGGATAAGCGTATCCAGACTACTACCAGCAAGTACTGGCACCGATTCAACTACAACACACTCAATGTTATTGAGGGCCTCAAGAAGACCATGGAGCGCGAGGGCAATTTGGACCCGCATGTGTTTGCGCTGTGCATGACCAAGGTGCTGAAGTACTACGAAGGCTCGTACGACTTACATACGTATCTGAAGGGACGGGTGTCCGACGCAGAGCTGGAGCGGTTAGAAGAGGCTGTGACGCCCATACGCGAGCGTTTCCTAGAACGCCTCACTCTGTGTAAGCATGCGGATATGCTCGAGTTGAACCACATATTCGAGCGGCAGGTAGTTTCTCTACGCAAGTACTTCATGCTGCTGGGATTGCCGGCTATGATATGGCGTCGGTCTGGTCAGCTGGTGCTGGTGACAGACGACATAGGCGACATCCTGGGGTACAGGCGAGAGGAGCTTCTCATCAAGAAGCGTGTGTACGAGCTCATACCCGATTACGAAGTGGTGGACTTTATAGTCAAGTGCTGTATCCCCCAACAGGGCGGAGAGGGCAACATCCGCTGCATGGTAAGCCGGGTCAGGCTTACGCGCAAGGACGGGTCGCTCCTACGCACACGTTGCTCGCTTACGGCAGTACGTGGGAGACACGACATCCCTCTTTGCATGGTCGCCATCTTCCTGCCATTGGACGATCCCTTCCCCTGGAGTGTGCAGCCGTCCTGTGAGGTGGTGAGCTCCAACACGGTGGAGCCTCAACCGGCTTATCCAAAGGATCTGTACGATAAGGCGTTTTTAAACACACACCATGCGTCGTATAATATCCCGTCGCATCAGCGAACCGTGCCGGGTGGTTCACAACACCGCCTGTACAACAACATGGACCCGTCGGCCGGGCTTACGGCCCAGGAGATGGGCACCCTGCTCACGTTTTAGAGGTGCATGGTATTCAGATATACGGGCGTACAAGGGCGTGTAATAGGACAGTATGCTTACAAAAAAGGACGTTATACGTGTATTAGGAGAGTAGACGTACCATAGAAGCTTATACGTACAACAGGGCAATTTATCACCGAAAGCGTGAGCTTGGAAGTCCCTCCAGGCTTTATACATACAATAGGACATTACACCTACAATAGGACAATTTATACGTACTATAGGACAATATACGTACCATGGGATATACGTACAATAGGTCATTATACGTACAATGGGACAATTTATACGTACTATAGGACATTATACGTACCATGGGACAATTTATACGTACTATAGGACATTATACGTACCATGGGATACACGTACAATAGGTCATTATACGTACATACAATAGGATAATATACATACAGTAGGTCATTCTACGAACAATCGGACATTACACTTACCATAGGACAGTCGATATTATATTCGACGTAGAACCATGCGGTCGTCCAAGTAGGGATATATATAGTTGACAACGGCACTGTTACGTGTGTGGTGTCGAAGTCCTCGGTCGAGAGTACGGGTGCATGGAAGTCCTCGGCCGAGGGCACGGGTGCAAGGCGTGGGGGCTTTGTGCACTGTTTAGGAACATCACAAAACCTGTCCCAAAATCAATAAATGTATTTAACCTGCGTGTGTGAGCAGCTTGGTACTGTTCAGTACTGTTTAGTGGGGGGTATGTAGGCAAGCAATAGAGGGTATAGTATGTAGGCAGGCAATAGAGGGTATAGTAAGTAGGTAGGCAATAGAGGGTATAGTAAATGGGCGTATAATATGTAGTATATGCGCTAGTGTGGCTAGTTTTACTCTTGCTTCATGCTACGATACCTATATACCACCTATACATTTCTTCTTCTTCAAAACGTATTTCTCTTGCTTTATACTACAATACCTACACACCGCCTTCACATGTTTCCTACTTCAAAACGTATCACTCTTGCTTTATACTACGATACCTACACACCCTTACCACAGTTCTTATTCTTCAAGATGCATTACTTTTGCTTTATACTACTATACCTATACACCGTCTTCACATGAATCCTACTTCAAAACGTACTACTCTTGATTTATACTAGGATACCTACGCACCGTCTTCACATGTTTTCTACTTAAAAACGAATTTCTCTTGCTTTATACTACGATACCTACACCACTTATACATTTCTTCTTCAAAACGTATTACTCTTGCTTTATACTACGATACCTACACACCACCTATACATTTCTTCTTCAAAACGTATTTCTCTTGCTTCATACTTCAATACCTACACCCCCTTTCCACATTTCTTCTCTTCAAAACGTAATACTCTTGCTTAATATACTCCACACCTACATACCCTTTCCACATTTATTCTACTTCTTCAAAACGCATTCCTGTTGGGTCAGTCGAGTATACATGTAGTGTTATCGCCAGTTTATTGTCAGCAGGTGTGCATGGTTTGGTTAGGTGTGCATGGTCTGGTTATTATAGTTGAGTGTCGAAACCCAACACTGCACAGAGCATTGGGTTTATCAGCAGCGGGACAGGTGCAACAACGTTCGTGTTCTGATAATGCGTTGTGTGTCGTCCGTTGGTAACGTTTTGAGTGGTGTGTCGTGCTCTTGAGTTTTCGTCTGCGTGTATTTGGGCTTATGCTTTTACCAGAGCAGCAGGGTATTCGATTATATATATGTTGCCGGTGAGTCTAGTTGTGTACGCTTGTCTTTTTACATAGCAGGGTATCTGCGTTTATACATGTGTTCGGATGCATGTCATGTAAGTGTCCGTTATAGTGATAAGGGGTGGCCCTCCATACACTCCCGTCGCTCACCAAACAACCAGACACCACCACTGACACACATCGCATGTTGGTTTATGTTTCATGTACCTGCTTGAATGCTTCAACCAAACTGAACATCCCCCCAGAGGCACCCAATGCGCACTGGCAAGGATAGTACTGCCAGATACTCTGGGAGACCGTATGGACGACGCCACTGTATTTTTTAACAGGGTTTTATTTGGTGGGTTTTTTTTGCAGTACATCATTGCATTTAAGAATCTCCCTGTATCTGAGGTAGGTATGTCGTGACGACCCATCATCCAGCGTCGACCGCTATAAAAACCACAGCTCATCAGAAAAACCGAGTTTTATTAATATCTTCCATCAACTAATGTATCGTTCTCCACCGCGCGCTCGCTATTCATTCGCACTAAACTAGGATACGTCTTCATGAAACCTTATATATTTCACGTGCATCATGCATAGATGAATACACAGATACATATGCACAGATGTACATTTGTACACACATGCACATTGCAAATGTATATGTATATATATATATATATAAATGCTTATATATATATTTATTTGAGTCCGTATACATGAACACACATATACATACGTACGAATGCGCGTGTGTACACACATGTATACGTGCAAATGTTTATAAACGAGTCCATACACATACATACTAATACAAATACGTACGAATGCACATTTGCACACACATATGTATGTGCAAATGTTTATATATGCATCCGTATACCTGCATACACATCTCAGCTACATGAGATATATATGTCTGCTTGAATTCTACCGTGTATCATGAAGCATTTCCCTTCGCGAACCACAACTGTAAGCTGTGCTATGTCTAATTACCAACATCCTCACTTCCAGTCATGCATGCACTGCGCCTGTGATACCATTCGCTTTCTTCTCGTGTGCCGCCGAAGTGACTATACTCCTCCTGCTCGGCCCCATTATTCCGTCATATGAGAGAATAAGCCCACACTCATCTCTGGCTGTCTAGTTTCTGCTGGAACTTGTCCTTGAGCACAGCTATATGCCTATCTATTATATTTCCCATCTGTTCCACGCGTGCGCTGGAGGTGTTGATATCGTCTCCGTGGTCCATGGCACTCACATCCACAACATCCCACACATGCTCGCTGCCCTCGGCCGATCCCCTGTCGTCCCACGAGTGAGCTGCGACGTGCGAGAGAGAAGAGCACAACATATGAACAGAACGTATACGTAACGTGCCGGTTGCTGGATAGTTATGCATGTGTATGGACGATACTAACATCAGAGGTGTGACGATAGTTGGCGGCAACGTATGGATACGGATGCAACGTTGAATACGGATGTAACGTACATGCGAATGGGTAGACAAGGGATCTTGCTCGAGTATGATGCACAACATATAGTACAGATGTTGATAGGTATCAACAGATTATCTTAAAATTCGGATCGGGTCGCATAAATCATAAGTTGAGTGTGTGTCTGCACTATACCGTGATATATACACATACGTATTTGGTGACTCGGTCTTACGATACTGACCTGTGAGATATTGTACCTACACCTATATGCAAATAAAGCAGCACTTGAAAAGGCCCACATTATTACAGATATATTATGTATAGGGTGAGAAAGACACTCGAAAAGGCCCATATCATTGCAGATATAGTATATATAGGATGATAGACATCCGGCAAGGCCCATATTATCATAGATATATTATGCATAAGGTGAGAAAGCGTGTTGACCCCGGATATAGCTAGACTGCAGTACCAATGGCTGCGTTCAGGTCTGTGTGCATACAGTCACGCTTGTTCATTGAACAGCCGTGAATCGGTGTGTGCACTTGTTGCCACCTGTGTATATTGCACATACCCGCTACTTCTGTCCTGCTATGTCGACGTGGGCGGCCTTGTCTCATGTCTGCGGTGTAGGTCCCATTTTGTCCGTCGGAGCTGAATGTTGTGTTGATTGTTTGTTCATTGAAGTCACCGTTGGCCGACATTTGAGCTGGATGGGGTAGGAGCAGAGAAACAAAGATATGAGTCAGACATGCGCATTGTATGGGTGTACACACAGCAGAAAAACCATTCCTTCAGTACAAGCAATTGTATGGTGAGAAATGAGATGAGGGAAAGTGGGCCCGGGTGTCTATAGTGGCAAAACTTGTATGTGAATTCACTACAAGATATGGGGTGCTGTAACTACGTCAAGGGATACCATTGCAGACAACAAACGGAAACAGTTCAAGCGACCCGATCCTCTACACAACGGAACACCAAAACTCTGTATCTAAGGTCCAGTTGGTCGGTGGTATTGAACAAAGCCCTGCAAACCCTGCAATTGCCCAAACAACCCAACCCAAAGCCCAAACCACCACACAACCGGTATCTACATTGCACTGCCCTGTTTCCATGGCAACCACCACCAGGTCACATACACATATCCTCGATCCGCAATTCGCGCAGTTGTCTCAGGGGCGACGCAGGCTCCGACACTGAGTGATGCTCGATGCCCTCCTGTCCCCGTGGGTGCTGGTATTCCGAGGGGATGTGCACACGTGCGTGTGCCGCATCCGTAGATAGGTATCTGGTATCTGTAGGTAAGGAGTAGATCTCATCTGCCTCCTCATCCACGCTGCACCCCCGCCCATCAGTGAGATATGTGGCGGACGCAGGCCTCGGATAGGCCCTGGGCTGATTTTTGGGGCCGGGTCCGTTTTCCTGGGAGTGGGTGTACGCGTACCTGCCGTAGTTGCCCTGGGCCTGTGTGTCGATACGCGAATTCCTGTGTTCGCCCCCATGTGTCTCTCCCTGCCCCTGCCCCTCTCTTTGTGGACCGGGGGCGTGTCCGTTTGTTCGCGGATGGGTGCCATACGCCTGCGCGTCCCTGCGCCCCTCCGCCTGGCTCTCTCTCGTCCATGTGTGCGCCTTGGCCTCTGCCGGTGGCGGTGTGTGTACCGGTGCCCACCTGTCTGTATGAACCTCATCTAGTCCGTGTACCTTCGGCCTGTACACTGCGTGTTCGTGTTCGTGTGCGTGCTCGTGTACGTGTTCGTATGGTGGTCTATTCCGTGGAGTGTGTGTTATAGTGCGCGCCTGCCTGTCCCCCTGCACCACATCTCCCGTGTCACGCTGATAGGTCCCGTCGTTCACTGTGTTTCGGTCGTTCGTAGGCGATGGACTGTAGCCCCGGGCCACCTTTACTGTACTCTCCTTCCGGTGTAAAGCCCTGGAGATAGATGCGGATGCCCTGTCCTGATAGTTTGGCTTGGGATGCATAGTCCTGTCCTGATAATTTGGTTTGGGGTGCATAGTCCTGTCCTGATAGTTTGGTATGGGGTGCATAGTCCGGGGTGGCTCAATGTTCAGGTGCATCTTTGATTCCGTCACGTGTGTGTATGGGGATCCATTGGCTGGGGCGTCTGTGTTGATGGTGTAGGTAGACTGCTGTGTGTGTGTTTTGCTGTGCGTGGTGGTGGGTGACATCCTTCTGGCCGCTCGAGTCGCCTGCGGAAATGCGAAGGACAAGATGAAAAGCAAAAGCGTATCAGCGGATACCCACACAATCACTGGCAAGTACATGGTATGCAATCTATTATAGTCGTTTGAGGATCCGGCAAACAACAGGTTCTATTCAGAATAGAAATTACAGCCCAACATACAGATGATAAAGAGTGCAGGGTCCATCGGATCGCAGTAAAGGTAATATCAAGGCCTGTATGCCATAAGTTAGCTGGTAACAAGTGCGCCTGTATCAAACGCAAGCTCTCTGATGGCACAGACGATATGTACAAGTGCGCATGTATCAAACGCAAGCTCTCTGATGGCACAGACGATATGTACAAGTGCGCCTGTATCAAACGCAAGCTCTCTGATGGCACAGACGATATGTACAAGTGCGCATATATCAAACGCAAGCTCTCTGATGGCACAGACAATATGTACAAGTGCGCATATATCAAACGCAAGCTCTCTGATGGCACAGACGATATGTGCGTTGGAAGGCCGAGCTCATGTCGTATGTGTGGTATACAAAGCCGCTGTACACGTACGGCGACGCAGGGGTATGCTAGCCACAAAGCCATCCGTGTGCTCTACAGCGTGTTTCGGTGTGAACAGAATTATTGTATCGACCCACTTGGCAAAGGGCCAGCGCCAAGCCAGCACATATAAACGGCACACAGTACGTATACACCATGCATACATAGCCTAGCCTGGCATTGCATCGTACGTTAGAAAGCTTAAACCTTATAAAGTTTAACGCATTCAGGTATAAATCCAAATCAGCTTCCCGTGCCCCAGCGTAAACGTGCATATACCTGCAATCGTAAGTTGTTGATTTCTTCCTGGGCCTCCGCCAGCCTGCGAGTCAACAGAGCTTCTCTCTGTACGTGCTGTCGGGTGGATTCGGTATCATTGGCGCCCTGTGTGTTTGTTAGTGGTTGTGCAGGCTATCAGCCTACTGGTGTTCTGGGTGGGATGTAGTAGGATGTGTGCTTGCATTGGTATTGTCCCGTAATGAAGAAGTGTTCAGATAGTGGTGGTTGAGTGTATATGGTGGGATGTAGTAGGATGTGTGCTTGCATTGGTATTGTCCCGTAATGAAGAAGTGTTCAGATAGTGGTGGTTGAGTGTATATGGTGGGATGTAGTAGGATGTGTGCTTGCATTGGTATTGTACCGTATTGGAGAAGTGTATGCGGCTGTAAATACGATGCGTGCTGCAGGAGTACGTTTGTATTGTGCATGCTATGATGGATGATTGAGTTCATCAGTGGAATATACAATGACAAACCGAACACAGGGATTACAAACACCCACACACCTACACCCACAATCACACCCACACCCTAAAACAGAGACAGAGACAGACACGCAGAGACAGGTTGCTTTGCTGAAAGAAGTTCCAGTGATACAACCGTACATACACCCCGTCTTAGCGCCACATAAGGTGTACACTGTACACCATGAGTTTGGTGCCTCACAGTAGTCCCCATGCGCATGCCCTGTGAGTGTGCTACAAATGTATAAACAGACCTGCACCCACTGAGAATGTGCTACAAATGTATAAACAGACCTGCACCCACTGAAAATGCCCTACAAATGTATAAACAGACGTATGTCCTTTGCAGTATGACCCTGTGTATGACTTGTGCATACCTCTGTCTCATGCAAGTGCTCCTGTGTCCTCAACCGGTCCATCAACGCACGATTGGCGCGTTGCAAATCGGCGTTTTCCATTTCGAGTGCCCGAACTTCGGTGTATTTCTGATGGTGTGCGTCGGTCTGTTTGCGGAAATCGTTGCTCATATCCGACAGACTGCAAGGGATCCATAAGGGACGGGTCAAAAACATGAGCAATCGTCCTGTAGCACGCTGCTGCATGTGTGCCCTGGTAGCAAGGATTGTCCCCGAAACAGGACCGGTCCGACAGGAGCCAATGCTGGTGTATGCGGTTCGGGGTTTTATACTGCGTAAAGCAACTCACATGACTATCATCATCAACTCCCGTGTGTATGATGCAAACCCAAATTATGGCACGAGTGGTATGTACCAGATATGTATCAGACGCATGAGAAGTGAAACCCATCCAATCACACAGTAACCAGTCGCTTCAGGAACAGTTCGGTTTAACAATGCAATATGGGTACCACAGACCTTCTGCGTGGCAGTGGGGTGTACTAACATGTGATGGGGGAGAATAGAGATAGCCAGGAAGGAGAGATAGGCACATGTACGAGGGACTTGTAGGTACCGAATAGCAGTCTCAGGCGGAGAGATAGGGCACAAGAAACGCTCAAACGGACCAGCCGTCGCTGGAGCCAAGCATGCAACAGCACTCAGCCTACCCACACATTCATGAACAAAACCCAAGCACAACAACCAACCCTCCGGCGTACACTCGTACAGCCCCCTGCACCCTCACCTCTGACTCAGTTGGGCGATCTCTTTCATCCGCTCGTCTATGGTCGCATTGCTGTGTGTGTGTGTGTGCGCGAGCCATCGGGTTAGAAGCGAACACGCGGAAGATAAGGATACACAATCATAGCCGATATATATGTATATGTATTTCCTACTATAGCACACTATATGTTGATGTCGTAATCATAGCCTATATATATATACTTATATTTCATACTATAGCCTACTATATATTGATGTATGTACAAATTATACGCATGGTTCGTTTCGTAGCAGAGCAACCAGAACCTGATGTTAATCGTCAATACATAGACTAGGCGTGCACACTCCCGCACTCCAGACTACGCGTGCACATTCCGGCACACCAGAGAAGGTGCACATGGGCCCATTAATCTTTGATGAAGGTGCACACTGGCCCACTAATCCTTGGTGAGGTGCACAAGGGCTCATTAATCTTTGGTGAGGTGAACAAGGGCCCATTAATCTTTGGTGCAGGTGCACACTGGCCCACTAATCTTTGTAGGGTGCACGTCCTTTGTGATATACACTCGCGTGCTTCCAAGTGCGAATCTGCTCTGTGGATGATAGTATGAATATTTGCACATACTATGCGGCAACAGGCCCCCTACACGCACAGAACGGTGTCGTGAGCTCACGCCGTTGCCACTAACACACACTTGCACAGTGGTCGAGTGAATAGAGGCGTGATTAATTAAACAGAGATTAACTAGAATAGATATACAAACACACCCCAAGATTAAATAAATAGAGATTAAGTAGAATAGATATACAAACACACCCCAAGATAAAATAAATAGAGATTAACTTGAATAGATATACAAACACACCCCACGCACACATGAGGGTGACTCAGATCGCACACACGCCTATAACGAGAACCCGCGCTCGTATTGTGGGTCGATGTCTGTGACAGAAAGAATACGTACAATCAGACACAATAGACATGAATAGGACGCATTGGAGACGGTCACCAAGTGAGCTGTGTTTGCGTGTGCGATGATTGGCAAACCCAATGGCGCTCAGGGCTCGATTGTCGAGAGAAGGATTCTTCCACACACAACACACACTACAGTCTAGGCCACAATACAATACACAACTATGACCCGAGGTAGAGGTACATGCCCCCATGAGCGCCGTAGGGTGCATACTCGCACGCTCCACTTCTAGTATGCCGTGTACATACGCTGTCTTGAGAAGCATCTGTGTGAGCTCTAGCTGTGCCGTGGCCAGCCGTGCCTTCTCTTCCGCCGCGTCTTGCACCGCAGCTGACTGCTGTTCCATCTCTGTCAGTGCTTGCTCCTGTCGCCTCGCACGCTGTATGTGGGTGAACGGACGGGCGATAGGAGTCGTGGGACATGGGTGAGATAAGTTAAGATGAGATGAGATGAGATGAGCTGCTGAGCTGAGCTGAGCTGAGTTGAGTTGAGTTGGTTCGTGTCCGGCTGATATGTTTGGGATTGCCTTGCCGGGTGTATGATGTGGTCAGTATTGGTAGTAGCACGAGTGGCTCCAACAGACCCGATAGGCAACGAAGTATTAAGGTTTGTGATAAGGTATAAAAGTACTAGGGTTTGTATTGAGTGCTGTATCAAAGTTCCACCCGACCGTGTTGTGTTGTGTTGCGCTGTATTGTATTGTATGTACCTCATTCTGTTGGTTAATCCTCCTGTTGTCCTCCTCCAGTGACTTGTAGTTCACCTCCGCAGTCTCTGCTGCCGCGCGTAGGGTCATGACCTGATAGCGTGCGTGTGGGCAGAAAGTATTGTAAGTGCCATGGTACATTAATGAAGCGAATGCAAAAGAAGAAGCGAATGCAAAAGCAAAAGCAAATGCAAACGAAGAAGCGAATGCAAAAGCAAATGTAAAAGGCATGGTATACACAGAAGCATGGCTGATAATAATAAAAACTGGCAACGAGTCTCTTGCCAGGAAAGGTGAGCGATCGGCAGAGTACACACAACCGAAACCCCACGCACATTGTATCTGTTAAGCAAAGTCTGTTAAAAGAAGAGGCACCAACAAGCGTAAGAGCAACCGTACAACAGGGAGGGACAAGCATCAGGTTTTCACGCTAACGCCGTCACTCACTAGCACAGACGAGTAGTGAACTTGCCCTAAACTCTAAAAGTATCGGGTGTTCACGCTAACGCCGTCACTCACGAGCACAGACGAGCAGTGGACTTGCCCTAAATCCTAAAAGTATCGGTTGTTCACGCGCCGTCACTCACGAGCACAGACGAGCAGTGGACTTGCGCGCAATTGTGTACACGTGGTATGGGACAGGTCAGCCAGTCCCAAAATCCTGTCCACAGGGCTACCTCAATGCTCTGTCCACAAGGCTACCCTTAAACCCTATCCACAGGGCTACTCTAAACCCCTGTCCACAGGACTACTTTAAACCCCTGTTTACAGGGCTACCCAATAACGCTGTCCACGGGGCTACCCCATTGCACCTACCTCATCTGTGAGTCGATCGATCAGATTGTCCTTTGCGATAAGTGTTGAGCGCAGCGCATTGCGCCCAGACATCAGTTTGTCGACCTCGTTGTTGAGAATCTGGTTGTCTTTCTCGGCCATGCTCAGATTCCGTTTCAGCTGTGAGTGTGTGAGTGTAGTGTGAGAAATGGGATGATATTTACGAGTCAATCTCAGTAGTCATCTGATCATAGACTCCGTTTCAGCTGTGTGTGTTTGAGAGTAGTGGAAGCATAGATTCCGTTTCAGCTGTGTGTGTGCGAAGGTAGTGTGAGAGATGAGATGATATGTATGAGTCAACCTCAGTGGACATTTGAGCATAGATTCCGTTTCAGCTGTGTGTGTTTGAGGGTAGTGTGAGAGATGAGATGATATGTATGCGTCAACCTCAGTGGACATCTGAGCATAGATTCCGTTTCAGCTGTGTATGTTTGAGGGTAGTGGAAGCATAGATTCCGCTTCAGCTGTGATTGTGCGAGGGTAGTGTGAGAAATGAGATGATATGTATGCGTCAACCTCAGTGGACATCTGAGCATAAATTCCGTTTCAGCTGGGTGTGTTTGAGGGTAGTGTGAGAGATGAGATGATATTTATGAGTCAACCTCAGTAGTCATCTGAGCATAGATTCCGCTTCAGCTGTGATTGTGCGAGGGTAGCGTGAGAGAAGAGATGATATTTGTGAGTCAACCTCAGTAGTCATCTGAGCATAGATTCCGCTTCAGCTATGTGTATGTGAGGGTAGTGTGAGAGATGAGATGATATTTATGAGTCAAACTCAGTAGTCATCTGAGCATTCGGTGTGTGGGCCCTCCGAGGTATGCACGCACTGGACTTCGGCGAATTCGCCAGTGTGCACATTCACACAACTTTTAATAT